CGCGTTTCCGCCGGCCCTCGCGGTACGTCTGCCCCATGATGCCGTGCATGGCGGGGGTGCGCTCCACGCTCGCGAAGTGCAGGTTGATGTGCGTCTGCGCGTCCGCCTCCGTCTGCAGCAGCGGGTGCGCGGGCCGCAACTTCACGTCCAGCTTGATCAGCCCGTCCACCTCCAGCGAGTACGCGTCCACGTCGAAGAACCCGCCGCCCTGCTTCTCGTACCCCGTGAACGCCAGCGTCAGCCCGCCGGGCAGCGCGTACTTGCTACCCACGGAGAGCAGTGGCAGCGCCTTGCCGTCGAACTCCATCGCTCCCATGAACCCCGCGCCGCGCGCCATCTCCTTGCCGTCGCGCGCAGCTATGCGGAACGAGTGCTTCACGCCCGCCGCGTCGATCCACAGAATGCCCAGCTCCTTGATCCACGTGCGCACCGCCTTGCCGCCCTTCAGGATCGACGCGCCGACCGTGCGGTCGTCGTAGTACCCGCGCATGCGCATGTTCACGTGGATTCGCGCGTCCGTGACGAGGCAGAAGCTCTGGTCGGGCAGCCCGTTGAAGTCGAATTGCGTGCCCTCCGCGCCCGTGAAGTGCGGGTCGTTGAGCGATGACGGGCACGGCCGCGCCACGCGGGTCACGTTCCACAGAATGCCCTCTGGAATACACGTGGGAGGAGCCGCCAGCGGCGGGTAGATGTAGCACACGCCACAATTGGCGCAATCCGCTCGTCTGTTCAGACAACAAGAGGGTTCATAGGGTCAGAGTTAATTGTCCCCGATACAAGGGATTCACTCATCCCATCAGAATTTGAGTTCTTAATTCACGATGACTCGGTTGTGCCGTAAATATGCGGAATTCGTTGAAGGGTGGTGGTGGAAAGGAAACTTACGGTTGGTAGAATTGCCAGTAGGTGCACGTGCGGCGGCTGATGCACTTGTTGCAGCACGCAGGCAGGCTCATGCCGTCGTAGCAGTACAGGCGGCTCGTGCTGATGGCGTTGTTGTACTCTGGCGGACACGTCGCGTTCTGCAGAAACGCGGGGAGCGAGTAGCGCGAGTACACGCCGGCATTGCCCGAGTTGCACGCAGTGGAGCATGTGATGTTCTGTGCCGGTACGCACGGATCGCCCGTGGGGTTGTTGCTGCCTTGAGTCCCGGTCGTGTTGTTGCTCGTCGATCCTTGGCCGTTCCCGTTCTGTGCAAAAGCGTGCGATGCCACAGCCAGCAACAGGACGATCGCAAGCAGCACTCTGAATCTCGTCATGGTGGGGTAGTCACTACGATAGATCCAAGCACAAAGCTGTAGCTGAAAAGAGGGGGACGATCTGAAGAATAATGTGAAACTAGGGACGGCTGACTGGTAGTTAGGGAGAACTCGTGAGATACCAAGGCAGACGTGCTTGAAGGAATCTACAGAAACGTTAACTCCGATGAGATAGTTGTGTCAACTGATGACTGATTGATGGGCAAATTAAGTGACGAACGAGTTTATGTATCTGTTCTAGAAGCGGCCTGAGTCAATCGTGACGCTTGTTGGGTCTGTGTGCGAACTCCTTGACATCAAGCAAGACGCTTTGTTGGATCGTTGTGCGAACTTCTTGACGTCAAGAACTACTGGCGTATATAACGACAGCAGGCCAGACGACGACCAGACAAGTGAGTATGGGTGATCGATGAGACAAGGAACGAATAGGGAGCCAGGGACAAGCGTCGATTATTACTGTTGGATGTGAAGTTTGTCCAGCTGGTCGTTTTGTCCTAGAGCAAATGGCGATTCTGAGACCGAGTCTGTCGGGGTGGGAATTTCTTGGTTCTGATTCCATCTCTTCTCGGCTGTCGGCCCTCGTGACCTTTGAAGTCCACCCATCCCACGTAAGTGGAGAATTTTGTGGGTGGAGTTCGCAAAGGGCGCGTAACCATTTTGCACCCAACGGTATTAACTACAGACGGTCCGTCTTAGCGAAATGTAACTGGATTCTCTCATTATCGTTTAGAACTTCGCCGAGGTGTTGGCGACGTCGCCAACCTAACGGACTATCGTGACACTTTTTCACATTTCCAACACTCCGCTTTATGACCGTGGACTGTCCGAAACCCAAACGGACGGTCCACCATATCTGGCTAGGTATTGGTGGGCGAATTTTAGGTAAACAAGCAAGTGCATGTATAGAAAGATCACAGTACAAGCAAGTTCAAGAAGTGAGCAAGTGAGGCCAAGTAGGCACAAGACCTAGCATCGTACAGAAGCGCTGATGATCACCAGGCGGAAGTGCCTTGGTAAAGATATCAGTACTGTTGGCCTCACAGGCCACGTAAGCAAGGCGCAGCTGACCACGCTGCTGCAGCTCACGAGCAAGGAAGTAGCGAAGAGCAATGTGCTTCGTTCTGTGCTCCAGTTTGTGCTCCCGACACAAGGCCAGCATGGCCTTGTTGTCTACGTACAGAACTGGAGGAGAACGAGGTGGCTCTCCTAGGTCAGTCAGCAGGTAGGTGAGCCAGCGTAGCTCCTGTGCAGCCATGGCCCCCGCGTAGATCTCAGCCTCACAGTTGAAGCCGAGAACAGAAGACGAGCGGGTAGACCGCCACGAAACAGAGCCGGAACCAAGGTTGAAGGTGTAACCCTGTGACGACCGCTGCGTAGCCTTATCGTCAGCCCAAGAAGCGTCTGCATGACCTGTGAGGACCACTGAACGCCGCCCTCCAAACACTAGCCCCATGCACAAGTAGCGCAACACCCTCTTCGCTGTAGCCATGTGCTCTGGTCGGTGTCTCCCAGGAGCAACATAGCGTGCCAAGATGCTAAGAGGGTATGCAAGGTCAGGTCGAGTGTAGGTCATCAGATACATGAGGCAGCCAACAAGCTCTGGGTACGGGCCACTCGGCTCTACGGACTCATCCGAAGGCAGAGCTGAGAGCAAGTGGCGAGTAGACAGAGGAGTGGCCTAAGGCGACGAGTACGTGAAGTCGAAGCGCTGAAGGACCTACTGCACCATGTGTGACTGAGTCAGGGTAATGGTGCGCTGTGCTCTATCCCGGGTGATCTGCAAGCCAAGGTAGCTGCGCAGTTCACCCAGGTCTGTGCACGTGTGTCTCTTCTGCAGCTCGGACTTCACGTGGGCGAGTCCAGCAGTGTCAGCAGTGGCAAAGACCAAGTCGTCGACGTACACGAGGATGTAGAACGGCGGCAAAGAGGTGTCGGTGCGCAGAAACAGCGACGGGTCGGCTGTAGAAGGAGCAAACCCAAGAGCCGCAAGTGTAGTCCTCAGTGTGTCGTGCCACTCACGGGGCGCCTGGCGGAGACCGTAGACTGCCCGCCGGAGGCTCCACTGGGTACCAGGAGGAAACGACCCAGTGAAGCCAGGTGGGCGGCGCAGCCAGATCTCCTCGTGCAGACTGCCCTGTAGGAAAGCAGTGTTGAAGTCAAGAGAGTGAAGCTCGTAGTCGTGCTGAGCGGATATGTGTAGCAGCACCCGAAGAGTGGTCATCTTCGGGGTGGGAGAGAAGGTCTGAAAGTAGTTTACTCCCTGCCGCTGACTGAAGCCTCGAGCCACGTAACGCGCCTTGAAGACAGGCGGAGAACCCGGCGGCTGCTTCACCCTGAAAATCCACATGCCATTGACGATGTTCGCCCCAGGTGGGGGAACCTCGTCGACATAGGTGCCTGTGGACTTCCAGGAAGCCATCTCTGCGTCCATGGCTGACTGCCACTGTGAGGAGTAGGGACCCTCGATCGCCTCAGCGTACGATCGAGGAGTCGGGATGTCTGGTGCATCCGAGTCTCCCTTAGGGGCAATCAGCGTGGACACGAGATGAGGCAAAGTAGCAACAAAACACTGGAACTCCTTCTGCGTGTCCTCAAGGACGTCCGTGCTAAGAGCACACTCACCCCCGACAGACAGAGGACAGAAAGACTCAGACTCAGCAACAAGACTAGCAGCGTAGTCTAGACGACAGCGAGCAGCAAATTCGACAAGCTCAGCAACCAATGCCGATGCAGCAGTGGACTCAAAGGAAGGGTCAGTGACAACAGTAGTCAGGAGACGCGTGACAGTAGGACTGGCAGCACAACGAGAGTCAGACTACGGGTCAGCAAGAACAAGAAGAGAGGACTCTGGAGGAGAAGGCAACGGGACACGCAGAGGAGCAGTGGAAGGACGCAGTGCCATCTGGTGTGTGCCTAGGACCGCAGGAGGACGCGGACGGGGAGCACGACGACTCGAGCGAGCAGTACGAACAGGCGACGCAGGACAAGACGCAGGCTCACGACGCTTAGCAAGACCTCCAGTAGGACCAGTGTAGGGAGAAGGAGCAGGCAGGGGGGAGGCGGGCTGTAACTTTGACTCGGACTGGATAGGCGGCGGACACGCGAAGGAAGAGGCAGGACCAGCACAAGGCGGGAGACTAAGAACCTGCTCAAGGAGCGGAACGAAGTACGGCCGCGGCCTCGCAGCGCCTCCAGAACCAGTAGGGACAGCACCAGCACCCCCAGCGGAAGCACCAGCACCAGTAGCACCCCCAGTGGCAGCAGCACCAACTCCAGGACCCCCAAAATCACCAGCGCCTGTAGCACCGCCAGCGCCACCACCCCCAGCAGCTCCAGCTCTAACAGCTCCAGCAGCACCAACCCTAGCAGCACCGCCAGCAGCTCCGGTACAAGGAGTACCCCTAGGCCTAGCAGCTCCAGTACCTCCAGTACGAGCACCTCCGGGACCCGTGGCACCAACACCCTCAGCAGCAGCAGAACCTCCAGCAGCACCTTTAGCTCCAGCAGCACGGCTCCAGCGCCGAGTAAACCACTCGCGCACAACCTGTGGAGAGGGTAGCTCCCGCCGGGACGAAACACCCGAAGGACCTCCAGACCTAGCACCGCCAGACGCCACATGAGCAGGTCCAGCACCCCCAGGCTCCGCACCCCTACTCTCAGCACCCCCAGGCTCAACACCCCTAGGCTCAGCACCTCTAGGAGCACCAGAGTTAACAGCTACCTCGACAGGCTCGACTGCGTCTACCTGGGACACACCTGAGGGGGCAGGACCCTGACGGGGAAGGGGGTCTACCAGGGGGGGACCTGGCGCGAGGAAGAGCGGCGGCGGGGGAAGGGGCACAGTGCGGTAGGGGAAGAGACGGTAGTAAGGAACCGACTCGTCAAACGTGACGTCCTGGGAGGACAGAACACGGCGCAAGGTGGGGTGGTAAAACTGCCAACCAAGTGCGTCAAGGGGGAAGCCAAGGAAGACACAGGGAACAACAGGTAGGGACAGTTTGTCCGCAGACAAGTCGCCGACAAACGCCCGAGATCCCCAGACCCGAAACGTAGACGCATCGCCAACCTTCCCCGTCCACCGCAGAGTCGGGGAGGTCTCCGACAAGGAGACCCGGGGCTGAAGGTTGATCTAATGCGCCGCGTACTGAACCACGAACGGCCACAGAAAATGGGGAGCAGCCGCATGGATCATGGACGTACGAGCGATGTCCATGACCATGCCAATGCGGCGCTCAGCAATCCCATTTTGCTGTGGAGAGGCCGGAAGCATGAATGTCTGGCGGATGCCCTGTGCACGACAGAAGGCTCGCAGAAGGTCAGAGGAAAACTCTCCGCCTCTGTCAGAGTGCAGACGCAGAACAGGAAAGTCTGAGCCGAAACTCTCTCTGACCTGGAGACGAGCTGCGCAGATCCAGTCGATCAACACCTCAGTGACGTCATCCTTGCTGCGCAAGGGGAAGACCGTGGTGTAACGCGAGTAGTCGTCAACCACCAACAGGAAGTAACGCTCGTGACCCTGGCCACGGACGCGGACAGGGCCCCACACGTCTAGGTGAAGTGTCTGCAGCGGAGCCTCTGTCGGAGGAAGCTCGGAGGAGTGAGGAGCGGCGCGCTACCGCCCCTCGACGCAGGGAACGCAGGTAGGGGCAGGCCCCGGAGGGAGCGAAGGGAGGGACCGGGGGAGACCAGAGACAAGGTAGAGTCTGAATCCCAGTCACTAGACCACTGGGATAAAAGGGCTTATTTCAGTAACGGGTCAGTGCGCCCATAACCCCCCAGGCGAACGCGCTTGTAACCCTGTCCAGGATCAATCGGGCATCCACAGTACAAATCTACTCACACCCCCCAACAGTGGGAGGCCCATGACTAAGCACAGCGGCACCGGCCTACATGTGCATACACCGGGAATCGAACCTGAGACTACTCTAATACCATGTCAGAATCCCAGTGAAGATCTACTGACAGGTAGCGGGAAGCCATGCCTTGGAGACGCGGCAGGGAGGGGTGACCAAGGCGGTGGTGCCAGAGGAGGGTCCGGTGGGACAGGAGACGACACGAGCAGGGGGCAAACTCAGGACCACACCTGGACGCTGCAGCAAACACCTGACTTGACGCAGCTACCTGACCAGACTCAGCAACCGAAGGAGACTCAGTAGTCAGTGTGTACAGGCTCGACCCCGGCTGACGGGTAAACGTGGCCAAGTGTCGGCCCGTCCGAGCACGCGTACAGTGGGTCACCCGCTGACTCGCAGAAGTGAACTGGTCAACCCCCCCATCTTGTAGATCAGCACCACTCACCAAGTTCGTAGAGAATGAGGGGAGGTAAAGACCTGACAGGGTGCCAGAGGGGGCCGCCGGACACGGTAGGACAATGGAGAAGTGGGCAAGGACAGGACCCCCAGAGGGGTCCGCCAGGGAGACCGCAACTGGCCGTCTAAGCGGCGTGAGTGTGGTGCGGTCTCGAAAGAAGGAACGGGAAGCACCCGAGTTAAGGGTGAAGATGTGTAAGGCCTGAGTCGACGTGGTACCTGAGAGAGCAGTCTCACCAGCACCTAGGGCAGTAGAAGCACTAGCGCCTAGAGCAGCAGCCTCACCACCACCTAGAGCAGCAGCCTCAATGCCTGGGTGAGGCGGAACACAGAGGTAACACTCACCCTCATCACTAGTAGACACAACATACATGGCAGCAAGGATAGCATCTAAATCCATATTAAAGATAGCAACCCCCGACCTAAGCAGCTCGTCCCAGCGGGGGATCTCAGTGGCGTCAGGGAACTGGAGACGCCAAGCGTCCGTCAGGCGGCCGAAGCAGCGCTGGGTGGTGTGCGGGCCACCGCACGGCTCACCAGTGTGGTCGCCGGTACGCAGGACTTAGGCACAGAGACCAGCACCCCCACCCCGCTAACGCGCGGCATACCACTTACGAAGCTGCTGGGGGGGCGGGGTCTCACGAGTGCGCAGCTGCTGCTGTCGCTGACCACCACCGAAGCCGCCCCGCTGTGTAGAGCCACCCTGACCAGCTCCACCGCCGCCGCCGCCACCTATGCCACTGCCGCCACCGCCGCGTCCTCCACTCCCACCGCCACCGCCGCCACCGCCTCCGCCTCCACCACCGCCACCAAAGCCCCCACCCCTGCCACCACTCCCACCGCCACCCCCACCACCTCCGCCGCCTCCACCGCCACCTCCACCGCCCCCGCCAGCCCCTCCAGCGCCCTTGCCTTCCTTGCCATTGCCGGTGCGGCGTCTCCCGCTAGGGGCAGACGCAGCGCCGACCGATTTGGTGCCAACGAAGTTGACGGCAGCAGCAGAGGCAACAGAGGGCAAAAGTGGGGAGGGGGAGCACCCCTCAAAGAAGGGGGAACGAGGGTCACCACGAGAGGCTCCTACAGCGACTATACTCTTCTCAGCTGCCAGGAGGCGCTCCTCGAGGAGGTCAACGGTGAGTGTTGTGGGGAAAACAAAGAGGAAGTGGTCCCTGATCGAGCGAAAGGAGTCAGGGAGACGGATGACTATGTAGTAGAGGGTGATGTACATGGGGGGGGGGTTCTTGGCACAGAACTCAGCAGGAAGCGCAGCGCGGTAGCGGGTGTCACTAGTGCAAAGGTGTGTAATGAGGTCAGCGACAGTGGGAAAGGCGGCAAGGTCAGGGAACAGGTACGGCAGCATGAGGCGGCTAAGGGCAGTAGTGGCAGGGGAAGAGTAGCGTGCAACTACAGCGTCGTACAAGCTCTTAGCACTCTTGTACTGACTAAAGTGCGCGCGCTCAGAGGACGGCAAGTGACTACGCACAGCAAGACGGGTAGTAGCATCGCGTGTGGCCCACTGTGAGCGAACAGTGCTGTCAGCATCGGCAGCAGGGGCAGTAGAGGCGCCAGACGTGAGATTGAACAGTGAGAGACAGTCTTTCCTATCACACTGTAGGAAAAGCTGCAAATCATCGACCCAGACCTCAAAGTAGACAGCCCGACCCTCAGCATCAAAGACGAGAACGCTAGGGGTAGCCATGACAGTAGTAGCAGCAGGCTAGGGGCAGTAGCAGCAGGCTAGGAGCAGCGCAGTCGCAAAGGCACGGCTCGGCGGTGCTCTTACCAGGGCGGGTGGGTAGAGTGCCGCAAGTGGTTGGGCAGGGCCGAGGCGCGCCGGCAGGGACAGGGCTGCGACATCTACAGCGGCTCCTGCTGTTGGCGGCGGCGGCTGCGGCGGCGGCGGCTGTCACAGCAGCGGCGGCGGCGGCTGCTCCGGGCGGTGGCGGCGGCGGCCGCGGCTCCGGCAGCGGCGGCGGCGGTTGTCACGGCAGCGGCGGCGGCGGCGGCTGCTGCTGTCAGCGGCGGCGGCGGCTGCTGCTGTCGACGGCCGCGGCGGCTGCTGCTGTCACGGCACCGGCGGCGGCGGCTCCTGCTGTCGGCAGTAGCGGCGGCAGCGGCGGCCCCGGCAGTGGTGGCGGCGGCTGTGACGGCGCGAGGGCTGCTGCTGCTGGGGCGACGACGGCGGGGCGGCAGGGCCGTGAAGGAGCCGAGAAGGGGCCGCGGAGGAGCCGAGAAGGGGGCCGCTAAGGGCGGCGAAGGGGCCACGAAGGGCCGTGAAGGGGCCGCGAAGGACGGCGACGGGGCCGAGAAGGGGCCGTGAGGGGCCGCGAAGGGCGGCGACGGGGCCGAGAAAGGGCCGCGAAGGGGCCGCGAAGGGCGGCGACGAGGCCGTGAAGGGGCCGTGAGGGGCCGCGAAGGGGCCGCGAGGGGCCGCAAGGGGCCGCGAAGGGCCGTAAGAGGGGCCGCGAAGGGCGGCGGAGGGGCCGCGAGGGAGCCGCGAAGGGGGCCCGAAGGGCCGTGAGAGGGGCCGCGAGGGGCCGTAAGAGGGCGCGACGGGCCGCTAAGGGCAGGGGACGCGACGGGAGGGTAGGCACACGTGGCGCGACTCGGGCAGGAGCGAAGGGCGCTCCGGGTAGGAAAAAAAAATATCGATTTTCAGTGGTGGGCCCTAGGAAACGTTCCCACTAGGGAACCTGCTCTATACCATAAGAGAATAACGAGGAATGAGTTGACTAAGTGAGGTGTGGGTACAAGTAGAAAAACTATAAAAGTTGTACCCTATAGTATCTACCTCACTACAACCTATACATATCATAGCATATAAACTTGACAATGCCCCCTCCTGGCTCTGTCGGAAAGTCTTGCCACACACCGGGAGGGAGCAATATTGGGGGCGGATTGTATGCAGGAGCACCCAAAACCGGGGCGATGCTCTCCATGTGACGGATGTTATAACTCACTAAGTATATGGGGAGGAAAATATGGTCAAATGTTGCATTGCGAACGTAGTCCCTGCAAGCCCAAGTTCCCGGCACCAGGAGATGCTGAAATGTCTCTCCCAACTGCGTATCTAACCATGAAGAACTGGCACATACCGCTGATAGAATCATGGTGTCACTCCTTCATTCACCATCCTATCTTCGGTATTGTTCCATGTCATTATGGGAGCTTGACATTCAAATCCAGCATAAGTGTATATTGTAAGGCTATTATCGAGGATTCTCTTCCACTCAATGAACAATCTGCTGCACAGGATGCACCTGTGCCAGATTCCAGCGTTCGTGTTGGTCATGTTGCTTGACGATGTCGGTCAAGCCCTTGACATGAATGATGAATTCAGAAAATGACAAACTTCATGTTGGGGTTTCTTGTCCTACGCAATATGGGTCATTTGTCATCCATTTCATTTTGGGCAACTCGGCCGAAACAAAGGTGTTGGCAACAGACCTCTCGATTTCCGACAAGCGCAAGCCTGTCATGTGGCTGTATCTTGGACTGAGGCTCAGAATAGTCAAGGGAAGGACTGAGGTTTCTTGTCCTTTCCCAGTCATTGGATGGCGGAAGTGAAACTCAACTTTTCGACCAAATTTGCAAGCAGAAAGGGGACGGGAGGAAGTGAATTAGCGGTGGTGGCACTTAAAACCCGCGGCCCAAGTTGTTCAACCTTAGTAAGGTTGACCGCTACGCTGTGGCGGCGGGTATCACAGAAGTTGATGGAAGGCTGTGAGCGAGGTTTGTTACTTTTTCGTCCAGCCCTCGCAAAGCTTTCTAAAGGGGGGGCTTCGTGTTTGGTTGCCCAAGTCCCAAGTTGCAACGGTGTTTTCTTTCAAGTTTCAGAAGCCAGTTGATCAAGACCAGTAACGTTGACCCGCGCGACCGCAACTCAGGACTCGGGTTTTAACGGTAGTGTATTCCGTACCAGCATTTACTGTATCCAAAATCACAACTGAAATCTTTCTAACTGTACATGAGTCAATCGAAGTTTTCCAATTTCCTAATTCACAACTTCTTTTTGGCAGCTACTCCCAGACCATTCATACAGCCACCAGGAAACCCATCCGCAGTTGTCTGAAATATCTAACCCCCGAAACACCCTTGTGAGCAGGGTGTTCGGTAAACCTCTTTTTGATAAAAAGGGAACTCTCAAAGCATCCCGCCAAATGTATTCGCCCCTCTCCAAACCACCAAGATCCTGAAATTCGACAGACACCGACAAAAATCCTGAATGGGTAGTCAGTCATGCTTGGGCAGTGCAATTCCACCGTACTTCGAGCGCACAGTTTGCGAACTTTAAACCCTACCTCAGTACTGCTGGTATTCTTGGAAGAAAAATCGTGGGGTAAACCGCATGAAAGCGGATGTGGAAGGGTTCTGGAGGGGAAAACAGTTCAGTTGGAAAAAGGCTAGATGGAATCAAAGCCGAGTCACTCCCGAACTGCTCATCTGGGTCTTAGTACTGGGTGTACTACCTAGACAATCACATTAGCGAAGATTTCTACTGAGAACACGTACACCACATCCTACAGTCGAGAGACGTTTCTGGTTACACAGTGCACATTTGGTCACACGAAGTCCATGAAGTCAACCAACGGGTTTCGCGAATCCCGATTGACTACGTGCAATGCAGAAGTAGTGCAGGGCAGGACATGGTTTTTGTACATTAACTCGTTCGACTCTCACATCTACATCTCACTCAGTCTTCTCCTCACCCACGAGTTTGTGGCTATCTTGTCAAAACTATTAGAAGTACAACTACCCTGGTCTTTTTATTCTTCTAGCCCATCCTCCTGGTATCTCACACGAACCTGGAATCCTCCCAACCAAAGTTTCCGTCGTCTTGAAACGTGTTCTTCTTTTGATCGTCGACCACTCTCTTCAGCTCCACCCGGGTGCATTGATCACATCACACGGCATGACGAGATTCAGAGTGCTGCTTGAGATCGTGTTGGTGCTGGCAGTGGCGTCGCATGCCTTCGCGCAGAACGGCAACGGCCAAGGGTCGACGAGCAACAACACGACCGGGTCTCAAGGCAGCAACAACCCCACGGGCGATCCATGCGTACCGGCGCAGGAAATCGAGTGCACAACCAAGTGCAACTCGGGGAATGTCGGCGTGTACTCGCGCTACTCACTCCCCGTGTTTCTGCAGAATGCGACGTGTCCGCGGGAGTACAATGACGCCGTCAGCACGAGCCGCCTGTACTGCTACGACGGCATGAGCCTGCCAGCGTGCTGCGACCAGTGCATCAGCCGCCGCACGTGCACTTATTGGCAATTCTACCAACCGTAAGTTACATTTCCACGACCACCCTGTGCTATTTTCAAGAACGATGAGTGGATGTGAATCGCCGGGAAAGCCAGATGACCTGACCGTGTTTTTCTTTTCACCCGTGTCTCCGAGCAGACGATCAGATTGCTCCAACTGCGGCGTGTGCTACATCTACCCGCCGCTAGCGGCGCCTCCCACGTGCATACCCGAGGGCATCCTGTGGAACTTGACCCGCGTGGCGCGGCCGTGCCCTTCGTCGCTCAACGACCCGCACTTCACGGGCGCGGAGGGTACATCGTTCGACTTCAACGGGCTGCCCGACAAGAGCTTCTGCCTCGTCACGGACGCGCGAATCCACGTGAACATGCGCATGCGCGGGTACTACGACGACCGCACGGTCGGCGCGTCGATCCTGAAGGGCGGCAAGGCGGTGCGCACGTGGATCAAGGAGCTGGGCATTCTGTGGATCGACGTGGCGGGCGTGAAGCACTCGTTCCGCCTGGCTGCGCGCGACGGCAAGGAGATGACGCGCGGCGCGGGGTACATGGGAGCGATGGAGTTCGACGGCAAGGCGCTGCCGCTGCTCTCCGTGGGCAGCAAGTACGCGCTGCCCGGCGGGCTGACGCTGGCGTTCACGGGGTACGAGAAGCAGGGCGGCGGGTTCTTCGACGTGGACGCGTACTCGCTGGAGGTGGACGGGCTAATCAAGCTGGACGTGAAGCTGCGGCCCGCGCACCCGCTGCTGCAGACGGAGGCGGACGCGCAGACGCACATCAACCTGCACTTCGCGAGCGTGGAGCGCACCCCCGCCATGCACGGCATCATGGGGCAGACGTACCGCGAGGGCCGGCGGAAACGCGCGTTGGAGTACACGTCGCTGTCGGTGCTGCTGCGGCGGTCGTTCGCGGCGGACGGCGTGGAGGGCCGAGGGTACCTGGACGGCGAGGTGAAGGACTACCGCACGTCCAGCGTCATGTCCGCTGACTGCCTCTACACTGCGTTCGACGGACACACGCTACCACCCATCAACGAGGCCAACGGCGTGCTACTAGCGTAGGGATTCCCTGTAGCAAATACGGATTGTTTTTCACCTCCTTTCCCTAGGAAACGTGGTTTTTTATATAAGTTTTCAACAGACCTTGTTTTGCTGTTTAATGGAATGACCATCGTGCTGAATCTGTCTGCCTCGGAGAACTAGGAGCCGAAACCATCTCTGCGCAAGCTCGTGAGGCACATCGCGGAAAGGTTCTCACCCCAAATCAGGGGGTTTTCTACTGAAAAGCTTCAGAAATGCATCCAAATGTATCCAGGAAGTTGCGAACGTGAATGAAATCCACATCGCACGCGCTTGGAAAACGGTGCGGAAATGTGCCATGTGTGTGGAATTCGCGGGAAATTCGCGGCACAACAATCAAAAAAATCGAATCAGCGATATGAGCTGTTTCGTTAGAAACAATAGCATGCATACCCACTGTCAGTGTGGCACACCAGTATACACGAACGCTTCTAGGGAATTGCTTGCAGATTCACAACGGTAGCGAATTACAGATACATATCGTGCGATGTTAGCTGATGAAACACTGTACACATTTTGACTGCCAAGCCAGCTCCTCGTAAAGCAGACACCCCCCCCCCCCCCCCCCCCCCCCCTCCCCTTCAGCGAACCACAGCACTGCTACACGTGAAAGGAGGGAGGTACAAAGAGAGTATTGGGAGAAATGATGTACAACCTAACATGCAACTTACTACAGGCTAGATAACAAAAATGAATACAACTTGGACACCCCCTCTAAACCTCCCACCTCACCAAACATATAATGTGCGCATGAACCTAACGCACCTTACAATCCGATCGTAGAAACGCGAATGATAAGCAGGAGAGGTAACAGCAGGCAGGAGGGAGGGGGAGCACCCCTCAAAGGAGGGGAGGGGAGTGCCACGAGAGGTTGTAACAACATGGGCAGAGGTCTCAGCCTTGAGGAGACGCTTCTCAAACGAGGCAAGGGTGATTTCAATGGGATCTAGGGAGAGAAGGTAGCCTCGAACAGTGCGGAGGGAATCAGGGAGGCGAGTCACGAGGATGTAGTGAGTGAAATACATACGGGGCTTGTTTGTAGTCTGAAATCCTGCGCGTGTCAAGGGAGCGCATGTGAGTAATGAGGCCGGGTACAGTGGGAGCGTTTGACAGCTCAGGGAAGAGGAACGGAAGAGCTAGACAAGCTAAGGCAGCAGAAGAGGGGGAGGAGTGGCGCTTGACGACAACGTTGGCCATCTTGAGCTGGAAGTGGGGCCTCTGGTCTAGCGGGAGGTGGTTGCGGACAACACTTTGGGCGGTAGCATCTTGTGACTGCCAGTGTGAACGAGCTATGCGATTAACCGTCTCATCTAGGGTAGGAAAAGACCCCGAGGTATGCTCATACAATGAGACGTCGTCCCTAGTAACGCTCTGCATGTACAGGTACAGGTCACGCGCAGTAGCAGGGGACCGCGGCGTGCACGTCATTTGGGGCAGCGGGGCAGCAGGAGCCGCGGGGCGTGCGTTGTATGAGGCAGGGGGGTCGCGCGCACCAGTAGGGCGTGTGACGACGGCGCGCGGAACAGTTTGGGTAGCCGGGCAGCGAAGGGCTCGCGCAGCAACGTGCAAGGTGCGCGCGGAGCAACATGCGGGGCAGCGAGGCAGTGGGGCAATGGAATAACGCGCGATGGGCAGCTCCTTAAAAAAAAATGTTTAGGCTAGGAATGGTCCTAAACTCTGAACCATGTTAACATTGTAGACTAGGAATGATTGGGATTAGGCTAAGGAGGGGAATATAAGCAAATTGTCGAGCAAGATTCTGTACCCCCTAAGGCTAGCTCCCCGTTTGTGTGCCATGGTGCTAGCCGCTTAGGGAGACCTTGACGCTCCAGGCATCCCGGCTCCTCATACTTACGCTTAGGCAGTATCAGGATAGTGGGCCTCTTAGTGGATAGCAACCATGGACTTAGAGATGGCCTTTTGGAGTTCCACAAGCCCGTACATCGACGCTAAACCCCCTCCTTGGGCTAACATACGGTAGTCGATGATATGTGTATCTTAAAAGTCTATAGGTCGTTAGGATCGTCACTGTCTTCAAGGCGCGTTACGTGATTAAAGGCTTCAATCAGCGTGAAGGGGTAGACTTCTTCTAGACCCCAAAGATGAATATTTGTCTGGTGCTACTTCACGTTGTAGCACAGTAAGGCTTCGAGTTGCACTCACTAGACTTCTCCGCTGCCTTCCTCCAATGCAGCACGAGGAGCTCTGGTCGTGTCGCCCTCCGGGCTTCACTGTCACTTTTTTTTCGTGGGACCCACTGGAGCCTGAGACGACCAGTCTATTTCGCACGGCAGCTTGTGACTGGTACGGCACTCTCCGCTCCACTCTTGCTTCTCTTGGGTTATGTCCTTCGTTCCTTGACCCATCAGTATTCGTTCATATTGGCCCCACTCATTTCTTCATCCTTATCTACATCGACGACTTTGTCTTCGTTACTGCAACCAGGGTTGCTCTGGGTGAAGTGAAGACCGTACTGCTTAGAGACACACGTGCATTGACCTTGGTGAACTTCGCAGCTTCCTTAGCTTGCAAATCACCAAGGACAAAGCCGTTCGCACCATCACTCTATGACCCAGTCAATGGTGTTAGGTCTTTCAGCGGTTCGAGCTTCAGTTCTCCACCACACAGCCCTCTCATCTTGCTGTCGACCACAGACCCACTGGTCCTATTCCTGACGAGCATGTTGAGCCGAGTGGTCACTACGAAGAGCTAGTGGGTTTGGTCGTATACCTGATGACTTGCACTTGTGAGAGTACGACGGCTTATGCTGGCTTTGCTAGCTTGCGTGGACTTTATGATGCTATTACTAGCTTAGCTTTATTGTATCTTGCATGCTTTTGCTTGACTTCCTAGGTTCGTTGGTTTTACTATAGTTATTATAGTTATAGCACCGAACTAGGTTGAGTGCACCGAATTCTAGGCTTTTCGGTTGCCACCGAATTGCCCTCTACCGAATTCGGGAAGGACCCGTTCGGGACGTTTCGCGACCCGCGGAACCATCTAGTAACAACAGAGTTACTGCATTTGTTTCGAGCCTATATAATATAGCCTCGCCTTGTACCTAGGTGATTCATTCAATAGAATCATCTTTCATGAACCAGATCCTCAGCACTCGTCTGGACCTCGCTTGTCCTCTGAGCGTTCTGGCTCGTTTTGTTCCGATGGGATATGTCAGAATCCCAACCACTAGACCATTGGGATAAAAGGGCTTGTTAAGTAGCGGGTTAGTGCGCCCATAACCCCCTAGGCCAACGTGCCTGTAACCCTTCCCTACGATCAATCGGGGATGACCAGTGGACCTCTGACACCCCCCCGCCCTAGGGTGCCCGAAGTGCATACACCGGGATTCGAACCCGATACATTCGCTCTGATACCATGTCATAATCCCAACCCCTAGACCATTGGGATAAAAAGGCTTGTTAAGTAGCGGGTCAGTGCGCCCAGAACCCCCAAGGCCAACGTGCCTGTAACCCTTCCCTATGATCAATCGGGGATCACCAGTGGACCTCTGACAGGATACATCGTCTTGTTCACTGAACGGCTGCTTAGAGAGTAGCAAAGTATCTAGCGACCACATCAGGCGTGAGGCTTGTGCTTGGAGGGACTCAGCCTGTGTGACTTATCAGGCATTGCGACTCGTCGTTGTCGGACGACGAGCAGACCTGCATGTAAACTCAGTGTTACCGTTTCAGCCTGGGCTCCAGAGCTATGACGTAGAGGTCTAGATGGTCTTCGGATGTGGCTTCGTTTAGTCATGAGGCCGAGATCTACGCTGGTGTCATGGCTGAAGAGGAGCTCTGCTGACCGACCTTCTTGCTCGGTGACATAGGTGAGAGACCTAGCTCTGCATTGACCTTGTTTGCTGACAACAAGGTCATGATCCTATTTGTCGAGAACCTCAATTGGAGGGCAGAGTGAAGCACATCGATATACGGTACTTCTTGCTGCGTACGTTTTCGTTTTCCTACTTGTATCTCATGCTTCCTAGTCGCACATCATTCCACTATCGTACTCATGAGATATTCATGCTTTTGTTTAGCGAGGGGGCTTCAGAAGGAAGGGGGTAGTGTAAGGAGATTTTTCAGATTCCTTTACCGTGCACCACCACAGCGCGTGCAACAATCGATCGTTCTTCTCTCGCTACAGCATTAAACGATATTCGCCACTTCGTGTGTGACATATACCAAACCACGCACTGCTGGAATTGGCCGAGTTGGCCTACGCTTTAGGACTAGTCCGAACCTCGCTGCCAGCATCACACGAGCTAGCTGGCACGCACCGTGTTACCTTTTGCTCGTTTCGCTACAAATGTTCGCTCATGTCTTCGCTCACACTTGTACTGGTTTGCCAACCCTCATTGCACCCGTTACGGAGTTATAACGGAGAGTGTCCTTTGGCGAAAGTTGTCCAAGTTCGAACTCCAACCGCTTTGTGGCGAAACGGTTCTCAACGGTTCTCAATTGTGTGGAAATAGAGCATCCATTCACTGTTGCCTTCGCCCCACACTCTTGTTGATTTGCTCACTGTGACGCACACCGTACAGAACCAATGGAGGCGGAAGCGGAACGCCGTCGCGCCCAGTCATCGGCGGAGCCTGCGGAGCCGTCTGCAAGCGGCCTCGCGGAACTTTCGTCGGCAGTGGCGGCAGAGGGGGCGACAGGTGCCGGCGATTTTGCAGGGGAAGAAGCTGCGACGGCGACGCCGCCTTTCACGGCGGCAGCCGCGGGAGGTGTGTCCGTAGAACGCGGCGAAGGCGGCAAGGGCGCAACCGACGGTGGGATCTGGATGCGCGAATTCAGCGAAGAGGGTCCCGACGGGACGTTTCATTTCCAAGTGGTGAAGCTGATCCAGCAGGTGCGCGTGCGAGGGGTGAGAAGCGGGGGAAAATAGGAGGGCTGGGGAGGTGTAAGTAGCAGGGGTAAGGAGGACGGATAAGGAAAAGAGAGTAAGGAGAAGTGTCCTCGAGGAGGGGTGAGGACTAGCGGTAAATAGGAGGTAGGAAGGGGGTTGAATAGGAGTAAGGTGGGGTAAGGAGGAAGGATACGGGAGTGCTACTGGAGGTATTGGGGGGGTATATGATTTACTTACCACCGAGATGGGTTAACAGCAGATTTAGCATAAAACTATGTGTTGATCAGTGTGTATGATGTATCCACCATCCTCTTTTACTTTCCGCAACACTGCACCCAACCGATTTTATCAGTTTCACCAGTTTTTTTTTCTGACATACAACCGTCCGACCAGGTGCACATAATGTGGAGGGTGGAGGTATGCCGGGTATAGCACCAGCTTTGATATGCTTCACACTATCTTTGCTCTGTACCCCCTGGCTCTGTGCCCGTGTCACCCCCTGCTGCTCCCATGTTCCAATGTACTCATGCAATGCACCAATGGCTGCATTCTCCTATCCCCTATGCCCCCTCCTATCCCCTATGCCCCCTCCTACCCCTATGCCCCCTCCTATCCCCTATGCCCCCTCCTATCCCCTATGCCCCCTCCATCCCCCCCATGCTTCCATCCCCCACCACCCAGCAGGTGTACGTATGGGTGGGCTCAAAACCACATCCCCATGGCAACGTCTTTTCACACGCCTCAAGAGCCCTCGTGCTCCCACTCACTCACCCATACACCCAGCCCCCATGCTCCCATGCCGCCATCCCCCAGCAGGTGTACGTGTGGGTGGGACTCAACACCGCATCCCATGGCACATCTCTTGAGACTTCTCAAGTGCCCTCGTGGGTATGTGCCATGTGCTCCCGTATGCCCACCCACCCCCCATGCACGCATGCCCCCACCCCCCAGCAGGTGTACGTGTGGGTGGGACTCAACACCGCATCCCATGGCAACGTGTACACCGCAATCCCCACCAGATTCGTACGTGCACAGCACACACCGCAATCCCTGTGCATCCGTCTGACGAGGAGCATGTAGGCACGTAACTGGGTGGAGAAAGACGCTGGGGGCATTCAGCGTCCTGCATCTGGACGCTGCGTCCGGACGCAAAGACGCAGGACACACGTCCGGACGCAGGGCGAATTTTTTTTTCGGGCAGACCGGATTTTTTTTTTTTTTTTCGCCAAAAATCGACCCCCCCAACCAATTTCGACCACCAAAACCAGCCATCCCACCCCTTTGTAAACCCCCTAATGAAAAATTGAATTGAAAATCCAACCCCTCTCCACCACTCCACATCTAGAAAACCCAACCATTGTGGCTCACCACCACCACAAAGCCCATTTAGTGCATGAAACCTCTCATTTGTGCTCACTCTTCTCACAACCCAATTCTCCTTCAACCCATTGTGCATGAAGTTTTATCCTTTGGGAGAAATTTTGCAATGAAAGTGTGCTACGGTACCCCCCCCCCCCCGACTTCCCTCTGCCCGGGGTGTTTTTTTGCCTGCCCGGGGTGTTTTTTTGCCTGCCCGGACCTGCGTCTTTTGCTGCGTCTCAAAGGCCAGAAACTAGCGTCCTGCGTCTGGACGCATGCGTCCAGGACGCAGGACGCGTCTTTCTCCACCCAGGCACGTGAGTAGAACGAACGAAGAGGATGTGTGCTTACATCCTCCGCCTGGATGTCTAGTTTTGAGGCGCCTCAAAAGTAGAATGAACGAAGACGATGTGTGCCTGGATGCTTACATCCCCCCCCTGGATGTAGGCACGCCTGGGTGTTACTGGCACACCTCCTCCTCCTCCTCGTCCGCCTACATCCGTCCAGGCGTGCTTTCGATTCGGCCCCATCTGCTTCGACGCAAAACCCACCTTTGATTTGAGGCGCCATGTAAATCCATGTAATCAGAAGCGCCAGGCACAAACATGCCTCGCCGTGCGGTCTCTTTTTTTCATTGTTACCCCTATTGTTTGTACTGTATTATTTGGCACGTCTTGAGACGTCTCGAAACCAAATTCCTGGGTCTGTCTACACCAGCTTGTCATCTCTCCCATCTCTTTCCATCCCTCTCCACCCCGTTAACTTGTTGTGCTCATTTACTGGCTTTCCCTTCAAGAAACTCTTCATCTCCCTCGGTACCCATCCACATCCATCCATACCTTTCTGCACCTCTCCATACATCCGTACCTCTCCGTACCTCTCCATAGCCCATCATACTCTGTCCTATGTGACTATGTGCCATCCATCCAACGTTCCTTCTCCCTTGACAATCTACATCTCTCTCACTTTCTCTCTCTCGTTCTCTCCATCTCTCCCCATACTCCCTCAATGATCTTCCCTCTCGTCCACATTCTCTACTCCTCCCACCTCCTTACTCCCGACATTCAACCCCCCACCTCATATCATCCCACCACCTATCCCCGCACTTCGCATACCCCCACTTCGCCCACGCGCCCAACATCCCTCACACCTTCCTGCCCACCCCACACTCCCTTATTCACGAGCCCTCTCAGGACCCCATGCCGCTCGTCACGCCTCTGATTGGTGGAGGTGCGGAGGGTGCTTCTGCAACCATGGCGGCCAGATTAAGTGAGAGCAGATCAGATCAGATCAGATCAGATCAGATCAGATCAGATCAGAGCATATCTGATTCATTCTTGGGTCGAATGTTGAGTCTTTCCAAATCTCAAAACGTGGGTCCTCTCAAAACCTAAACCTTGAGGCGTCTCCAAAAACCCGGAATTGAGATGTCTCAACACCCTCAACTTTGATTCTGGACCTTTCTTAAGCCAGGCGGCCTTGGTATGTTCTTAATTGATCTACTGAGTCTGATATAGGTTTTTGTTGTGATATTTGAATTCGAAGTGACCGTATCTCGCCTCCCCTGTCTCCCTTCCCCGTTCTTCCCCAGCTTCTTGCGCCTCACTCTCCCCGCCCCCCTCTCTCTTCCGCATTACTCTCCCTGTCGCTTCTCTCCCTCTGTTCCTCTCTGCCACTGCAGGCAAGCGGTTGGGATGTGCAGTTATCTTGGCTTCCAACATCCCACCCAATGCACCCATGACAGAGGTAAGTGATCATGGTGGAATAGTTGGTCAATTGTTGGGGAACACCAGGGGAATACTTGTGGAAAATCTGGGTAAGGTTTGGGGAATACCTGGAAACTATCTGGAAGTATGTGGAGAGAACTTGGTGATTACCTAGGGAATATTTGGAATATCCATGGGAATTACATGAGCTTCATACCTGGTACTATTAGGGATGGTTCAGGTGGACGATGGGCAATGATGTGGACGCGCATCTGATGTGATTTGATTTGGTTCTGTCTAAGCTTATTCTGTAGGTTGCTTTGGTAAGAAATGTGATGGAGGACACAAGATGGGTGAATGTGAGATGCCGATCATTATACCACCCATGGGATGCATGTTACACGTTGCTTTATGGTTTTACTGTTGCTCTATATCCACATTGGTGTCTTTACTCCTGCGCATGAGCAACATATCATTTCAAATGTACACTTCCGTTCTGACTCACATCCTCCGATCCCCCTTGTCCCCATCACCCCACAGGCAACAGCAGAGCGATTGCTGATTAAACGTCTTCCAATGCTCCTATCTGAGCAAAGCAACACCTGACTGACTGACTTGTACCCAACTAAATACTGTGCTGAAACTTGGCCCCTCCCATTCATCATTTTTTCATGAGTACAAAACAAGGACACTTTGAATCGAAACAACTTCAAACAAACCAAAAACACATGCTTCACATTGAGACTTGAGGGGGGTGTTGCACTACATCCCACATACCAGTATGGTAAGGTATTTGGGGTTTCCTCAAAGTGCCCAGCCCAGTCTCCCTCCCCCCATCTATCCAAGGCCTGCCCAAATTAACTACGGTAATAATGTGCAGAAAATGCAGACTATGGAATGGGATCTACCCTGTGAGGTCAGTACCGTATCTATTCTCAATGCGCTCTGGAATAGCCCAGTGCCAGTACAGAGGGTGACTGAAACGAGTGCGCACTGCGCACCATATGAATAACGAGATATAAGAATTGAAAGAAGTTGGAGGTTGGCCTGACTCCTGACCTTCAGATCCTAACCAGCATCCGTAGGAATTTGTACCATATCACAAGGATCTGCATCACAAGGACGGTGGTGGTATTAGAGAATCCAGGCTGAGACTTACACAGATCCCCCGCTGCACTTAGGCAGCAGTAAGTGTCAAGCTCTCCTGCTGCACCCAGATTCTTTCCCAGCAGCAGCTGCAGCAGCCAATCAGCCCATCCCCTGGCTTGTCATTTCTGAATCTATACGCTGCACCCCCTTCTACCCCCAGCGAGCATGGTTCTGTTCTGACTGACTAAACACCGCATGTTAAATGAATGGTCAACAGAGTTACAGCCCTTTCCTAAGTCTAGCACACGAGGGATGGATAAGACAAGCAGCAGCATGGCTTGAGTTGAGACCTACAGAAAAGAAACGTTTGCCTACAAGACCCAGAATGGTTTCATTCTTATGCTAAACGTACCAACCGTATACGGTACCGTAAGTGGATGCTACAATACCATCATCCGCTCCTGATACCAACTGAATCCTAGTGCACTGACCCACATCTCTCTTATTCTCACTGGACCATTTCACACCACGTAGCCAAGAATGCACCATCCTCTATGACCCACCACGCACCACCATGCTCCACCGTGCTTAGCACCATCCTAGCACCGAATGCCGCACTCCTCAGCAGTAGGCCCAGTCGCCGGCGCACCCCACGGGTTGATGTCCGCCCAGAGCAGCGAAAACACCGAGGCGAGCAGAATCGACCACACAATAACCAGCGTCGGCACGCGTTTGTTCTTCCCGCTCATACCCTTCAAAAACGGGTAAAGATGCAGAATCACCCAGAGCGAAAAGAAAATCTTGCCGAACATGGTCCCCCAGCCGACCGTTCCCATATTCATCGCTTGCGCGAGCCCCGAGATAATCCCAAGGACGTTGATAATGATGAGGAACATGGGGGGAATCAGTAGCGTTGTCCATTTCACCATGTACAGCTCAGCAAACTCCCCGTCATCCGCTTGTTTCGCCGTGACCGTGAAATTCGTGTCGATGCCAGCTAGCACTTTCAGAAGGCCCTGGAACACTGCGAATAGATGCGCCGACACGCCACCAATGACCCAAAACTGCTCGTTTCGCCACAGCTCCGTGAGACCCACCCCGCTCCACCTCAGCTCCAGCACGTACGTCGCGATAATAGCCGCGAAAAGCCCGACGAAATACAGCGTCGCCGTGACGGTCAGCCCGGGAATGATGAATTTCCCCGTAAACAGACAAATCGCAGGAAGCATGCAGTACGCGAGCAGCGGGAACGACGTAAACGGGTACACCGCCGTGTTCGCATACGCCAGCCGTTGCAGCACCTTGAGGCGGTTTGCCTTCCAGCCGTACCAGATGGGGCAATGCCGGGAGAGGAAGATTTCAATGGAACCCAGAGCCCAACGCAACACCTGCAACAGAACGGGCGGCAAACAAGAGGGTCAGCGCAGAAGAAAATATTACGAGGATGGGGATAGTGGGGTGGAGAGGCGCGGAATGAGTGTTTGAGGGGGTTGGATCGGGACTTTGCGGGTGGGGGAGGATACATGGTGGGGGAACTAAGGGTGGGGGGAACGCATGGCATCCTTGGGTGAAATGAACCACCAATACAGAAGCAGAGACCAGCACAAACGTACACTCCCCCCCGCCTCCTCCGGTCTCTTCCCCGCCTCCTCCGCCCTCTCCCCCCGGCCTTACACCGGCTTTCCCCACCTTTTGCCGGCCTTCCCCGCCCCCAACCCCCGCCTATCCCCGCCACCCACCTGCTGCAGACGGTCGGACAGATTGATGGGCGCAGACCCCTTGAACGCCACCCGCTTGGGCTGGCAGTAGATGGATCGCCACCCGCGGCACTGCATCTTAAAACCCGTGAGAATATCCTCTGTCACCGACCCGTAGATCCACCCGATCTGCACCGGGATATGCGGGGGATGGGAGGAAAGGAGATACGGTTAGAGGAGAAACATGAGATTAGATTCCGTACGGGGAAAGAAGAGTACAGGTTGGAAGCTTGGACGGGCGGAGAGGGTAGGTGAGATGCGGCTATGGAACATAATAACATCCAAATGAGCAATCAGCAGCATACAACAAGGTAAAGGGGCGGAGGTCCGTGCGTCACAACAGGGAAGACTTTGTGAGTCCGTGCGTCACAAGCCGTGAGTCCGTGCTCACCTCCTTGCCCCAGTCCGTGCCCTCCTCATAACCGCACGAGATGACGTGGATCGCCTCCTTGAGCGTCGATCCCGGGCCCGTGAACGCCACGCCGCCGCCCTCCTCGTGGAACGTGGACAGCACGAACACGGGCGACGCGCCGAACCGCTTCTCGAACTTCTTCAGAGCCATCAGGCTTCCCTTCTCGTCCTCCTCCGTCATGCCTGGAGGGCGGGTGTAGGGTGTGGGAGGGGAAGAGGAGCGACGGGGGTGAGGGGTGGATGGGTGCGAATGTTTTTCTTTTTCTCTCTTAGGTAAGTGAAGTTTCTGAGTGAAACGGAACAAGAACTTGGGTACTGTCTGTGAGAACGGGAATCGAGGGACGGGAGCTTCGCAGTGTCCTCACTCACACAATCATCTTTCTTACCTTCCACGTCGTCTATTCCCATGCCCATCGCGTTCATCGCCATCGCCGCAGCCTCCTCCCTCCCCTCCGCAATCCGCTCCATCCGCCCGCTTTTCCCCTTCCCCTTGCGCCCCTTCACCTTCCCCTTGCTCTTCCCGTCACTCAGCCCTCCTCCTTCCGCCAGCGCCTGCAGCTCCGCGGACTTCTTCTGCTTGCGCCCGCCGCAGCCCCCGCAGCAGAAAACACAGTGGCAGAGCCAGCAGATCCCGTTGCTCGACTTCTTCTCCTTCTTGGGCGGATCGAATCCGTACAGCGCGTGCCGCCGGAAACAACAACCAGTACCGACGTATACGGGCCCTTGCACTCCGTCCAGCCCGGGCAAGTTAATCTGGACCAGTCAAGGGCGGAACAGGGGAGGCGAAGTGAGGGCAGGAATAGACGACAGCGAGCGCGCGACATGGAAGGGACGACGGGAGTCGCGAGTGGGTACAGGAAACTATGGCATGGTATGCCCGAAAATCAAGTAGAGGGAAAGAATAGGAAGAAAAACAGGAAAGAAAGTGCGCATGTTATTGTAACATGTAACACGCTCACGTCGAAGAACACGGTGTTGTTGTTGGCGTATCGATCGCTGGGGTCGATGCCGTCGAACCGCTGCGGGAACTGCACGTAGCACGCCCGTTTCCCTACGTTCGGGTCCATCATGAAGCACATCGCCTCCCGGAGCGCGCGCGAGTTGTTGATGTAATGATCGCAATCCAGATTCAGAATGTACGGCGCGTTCGTCAGCACCGCCGCGACGCGCACTAGCGAGTTCATGGCTCCAGCCTTCTTGTGGTGATTATACCCGGGCCGCTTCTCACGCGACACGTACACGAGCCGCGGCAACGGCATTCCGTCCGAGCCCGCGCCGCCGTTAGGACCAAGGAACACCTGGATCATGCCGGGATGGTCGCGGGATTTATTTCCGGGCCACGGCGTGCCGTCCTGCATCGTCCACCCGTCGGCCGGCACGTTCTGGAAACGCGCGCAGAGCGCGTTGATGCGCACTTTAAACTCCTCGTACTGCCGCTTCACGGAGCGACGCTCCAGCACGAACGCCGTGTCGAGCTTGTCTTTCAGAAAGTCAACCTTCTGGATGAAATAAACGTCGGGCGCGCGCGGCTCGATGTTGTACTTCTTGCAAAACGGCACCCAGATGCGCGCGAATTCCGCCGTCTCGCCCATCATGTCGAACGTCAGCATGGAGCCGCCATCGTCGGATAAGTAGCACGCGACCTTGTCGACCGGATAATCGACGGCCAGGATCGACAGCAGCGTGTTCGCCGTCGTCAGCGGCGGCTCCTTCATGGGATCCACCGTCGATACAAACAGATCGACGGGTGCGAGCTGCGAGTCTTCGTTGGGCTTCTCGAATCGCAGCGACAGACGATCCATGTACGTTTCTCGCCGAATCGGGTTCCATTTCGGAAACTGATCCAGAATCCAGGAGAAGAAGAACCAGACCTCGCAGATGATCGACACGAGCCAGAGCCCGTACGCGTCCCACACGGGGTTGATGATACGCCAGCGCAAGAAGAGGATGGTGATGACGAAGCGCATCACGATGACGAGGCGGTACGGCGAGATTAACTCCGACTTGAGGTGGATCTTGCGGGAGAGCGGCTGGCGCGCTTCGTCCATGCTGAACGCGAGGAGGGAAAAAAAGTGAAGGAGGGAGGGAAGGAAGGAGGAATGGAGAGACGGGGTTAAAGCGAGACGATAGTTGGGGCTGGGCTACGAAAGTCGAAGGGAAGCACCACGGCGCAGGCCACATCACACAACAACGAACATGCCTGCCTACCGCTCATCTCACGCGAACATCTTACAGAGACGTCACACTCACGTGGGCAGATCGCCGTCCTGGTCTTGCGTGGGCGACCCGTCTGCGCCCATGCCGCCGTACGCGTAGTTCCCCGCGCCCCCACCCGCGCCTGCCTCCATGCCGTCGGCGGAAGCCACGGTGCGACCCTTCCACACGACGCTGCCGTAACCATACTCCGTCGGGTCCTTCTTCGGGTCCAGCGCGCGCACGGCGGGGGTTTCGGAGCCTGAAACAGGCGGAAACGGCGCAGGGGGACAGGACAAGGGGAGGGGGAAGCCAGGGCGTGAGGGGGGAAATGTGCGAAGGGAATGAGACAGCGAGAAAACGGAACACAGCTGTTTTAACAACGAATAGCAGAACACGTCTTTGAACTTCATTTTGGATGACGCTCACTCACTGTTACGCCGAATCTCTCCTACCTGATTGCGCGAGCCACTCGTTCTGCGCTTGACTGACGGAGTTTCCGAACGTGCCGAAGCCCGGTCCGCTAGGCACGATGGCGTTGCGCGGCCCGACCTGCGGCGACGTCGACCCCACGGGCATGCCGAGGTGCTCGTTGTAGTCACTCGCCGAGTCGTTGTCCATCTGCGACCTCCGATACGCGGAGTTCTCGTGAATCGGCGACGCGCCGTATCCGAGGTTCTGCGCGTCGTCCATGGACGGCTGCGATTGATGCAGCGTCCCTGCTGCCACCGGCGGAGGGCTAGGATCGCTCTGGTACAGCGACGAGCGGTACCGCCAATCTGCTGGTTGTTCATCTCCTCCTTCCTCCTCGTCCTCTTCATCGTCCGCGTCGATCCTCGGGCTGCCCTTGAGGCGTTTGTAGAAGGTCTTGCAGTTGGGACACGCTTTGCCGCCCTCCTTGCGCTCGTACTCGTAGCATGGCCGGCAGACGGGGTAGTTGCAGTGGCCGCACGCGATGAATGGCTCTCCGTCGACGGCCACGCCGACGGAATCGCCGCAGATCTGACAGACGGAGGTCATGTTGACAGACGGCTGAGGTTGGACGGTTTTGGTTCCTAGCGTTGCGGAATATACCGCCGAGGTGGCGGCTTGGGAGTGGTGTAACTACGTGAGAAATACCGGCTGTGCCGGCTTTCGCGACTGAATTCGGGGTCCTAGCTAAGTTGAAGCCATCTCTTAAGGTTTCTTATTCAGGCCTAAATTTCCCTTCCCGAGTCACCGTTGTCATTGTGAGCCTGGCAAAGAAGCCGCAATCACTGGACGCAAAAATCGTTTGAACCAGGTGAAGTAGGATGAGAATCAAGAGCAGACGTAAGTCTGTAGAAGGTGCTGTGTTGGGCGAAGGGAAATATTGAGATGACAGCACTGCAGCACAAATTAGAGACAGTAGATGAGAAGGGAGAGCTTTTTGGATGGCTCACTCTCTCTCGAACCTGACTGTTACAGGGGAAGGAAAAGCAGCAGGGAGGGATTTCCCAAGGCGGGTTTGAACGGGAGGTGCGAGCTGGCGGGTCGCGCAAGAGGTGCTGCAGCGCGAAGGCCGCGCTTCCGCTTTGGAAAATGACGTTTCCTGCGACTCGGAAAATTCGAGCTTGGCCATGCGTCAGGAGGATTTGTATTGGGTGATCTTCGTGCTACTTGCGAATTGCGCTGTGTGCGATGATGTGAGCCAGTGTACGATCAGTCTAGGGTGAACAAGGTGAACAGTGTCGGATGTTCTGCTGCCAGAGATGGGATTCAAGCAGTGCACGGTCTGCTGCCAGAAGAAAGCTTCTGTGGCGTTTGACCCTTAGTTTCGGCCCGTTTTCTTGGCCGTACTTGCCAGCCTCAAGCCGCGGTCACCCAAACTCAGCTCCTCACATTCTGTGCGACGCGATGCTTCCGTCGATCGTCGATCATCGACGATTGGGCGACCATTGACTCACCGTGCCGAGCCGACTTTCAGATGTTGCCAGCCAGCTCTGACCAGCCGAACAGGTTAAGCTCGTGTTTGCCAACAGTTCCGAGCCTCAGAAGTCCAGCTTCGTCTCGAACCAACAAAGCGAAACAGCTAGGTATGGAGATGTCAAGCAGGGTTGCAAGGCTAGAATTTATGGCGCGAACAGCTAGGTCTGGTTTTGGCTTCACCAAATTTCGCCGGAGTCGCTGCGCTTGTGTTCTGTGCGGTGGTGGGTGTGACCACTGACCACCCTCCCGCCAAAGCGAGCAGGTGGTCGCGGGATGGGACTGAGGACCCTCACATAGGAAACTTGTACACTTTGAATAGTTAACTATTCATACAGGTAATCTCATTGCAATCTATTTCCACATACCACACTTTCATGTTCAATAATCCATATGGTTAAAGGTTGGAGGGGGTGAACCTGAGCTTGTATTAACTCTCTTTATGTTCTGCAGAATATCTGTAAATTATGTGCGTACAATTTACCTTGAACAGTTCGTACAATATAGCACAGGAGAATCAGCACAGCATCACTCCTTCACCACCCAGGCACACTTTAAAACAATCAAATCCATGCAAATCCTGAAGCTCGTTTTGCAAGCCCCTCACTGTATTGTCTTCTGCTCCTGAAACAATAATTGCCGAGCAAAGGCAACAGGTGAGTCATCAAAGCGTGACGTGTTAATCCATGAATGGTAAAACAGGGATTCGGCATAGCCTTGATGCAGGACATAACATGCTCAACAATGTGCAGGAGATCGAGGACGATGCTCCGACACATAATTTTTTGGCAAGCATAAAGAAACCCACCAAAGGCAGCATGCCCTCATAGGTGCATGACACAGATATGCACACGTGCACTTGTTACATTCCCACGCACCTCTTTTTTTCCGAGCACACTCACACGTATACACTCACTCAAACTGAATCAAACACCAACACTCACACCCCCCAACACACGAACCTGGTGGTAGCAGCGTGATCACACACCCGCCTCCCCCGGCCCCTGTGAGCTTGGAGCACAGCCCATAGCGCGCTGATGCCATGCACACTGTGTCAATGCTGCCATGGCTCACTCCCAGAGCGCTCAGCAGGCCCTGATTCATGCTCACGAGCGTGCACAGGGACGCATAGACAGCACCGGAGGGGTCCGCTGCTGCTGCTGCTGCTGCTTCTCCTTCTTTTTCTTCTTCTTTTGATTCTCTTGCTTGCACTGCATATAGAACTTCTGTTGCGGCTGCTGCTGCGGCTGCTGCTGCCACTGGTTCTTCCGGTGCTGCATTGTTCGCCATGGACTCAGTACCGGCAGCTGCTGCTGCTAACTGTGCCACTGCTCCTGCACCGTTGGCATTTGCCTCTCTGGTGTGGCTGGCACTCGCTGCTCTTGATTCGGATCCCTGCTGCTGCTGCTGCTGCTGTAGCAGCTGGGAGGCCTGCTCAGCAACGTGGTGCAGAGCGAGGCAGTAAAGGGCAGGGCAGGGCAGGGCAGGGCGGGTGTAACGCACAGTGACCATCAGCATTTATGTCCCAAGCAGCCTGGCTCACGGAATAAAGGCACGCTTATTCCTGTTCTGACAGATGTCGGCACATTGCTAATACAGATAGGCATATAATCTTCTATGCTCACCAGAAGCACAATGCGGTGCATGGCATGGCATGGCATGCAGTATGAAGTGCAAGACATGCCATGTAACCTTCTGCCCTCACCTGATGGGCCACATGGTGCATGGCATGCAGCATAGTTGCCAGACTGCCAGCATGCGCTGCGAGACAGGCAGCCGCTGCATGGTGCTCCCTCGTTGTTTCAATTCAACCAAGACACAAAAATCTTCACAACAATCCAAGATGATCCTCACGACAATCCAAGATGATCCTCACGACAATCCAAGATGATCCTCACGACAATCCAAGATGATCCTCACGACAATCCAAGATGATCCTCGCAAAGTTCTTCTCTTTAGCTGACTGATACTATAGCTGAGTGAGAGGCTTTACAGGCTCTGATCTGATGTGATCCTTCTGCTGAAAGAAATCCACCTTGCTGCTCTTCCCCAACAAGTGAGAGGGAGGAGGAGCCCTGGTAAACCCACACTCATGTAAAGCTCTGCTCTCCTGCAGGGCCACATATGGTGCATGGCTTGCAGCACGGCTGCCACATGCACATGCCATGTACCATGCACATGCCTTGTGTGAATCTGTGGTACACGGCAGCAAGCGTGTAGTCTTCCATGCTCACCTGATGGGCCACATGGTGCATGGCTTGCAGCACGGCTGCCACTCTGTCGGCATGTGCTGCGAGACACGTAGCCACTGCATGGTGTTCCCTTGTTGTTTCAGTCTCAACCGACACACCAACTCCCTGAGGACCCCTGACCTGAGTCCTCATGCTCCTGGAACGCTCACCTGCAGGACCACATGGTGCATGGCTTGCAGCACGGCTGTCACACTGTCGGCATGCGCTGCCAGGCGCGCACCCACTCCTGACACGAGCGCGCTCGTGCTGCGAGGGACTCGCGTGTTGGTGAGCAGCAGGGAGAGCGGCAGAGCACAGGGGATGGGGTGCGCCTTGCCCTGCTGGAAGGACGTTATGCCGCCTGAGGGGGTGGCGAGGGGGGAAAGGGTGTGGAGGGTGGGGAGGGGGGTTTTAAGGTAGTAGCAAGCAGGGCCTGAGCACTGCCATGGAGGGAATGGACCGAACACTGCCCAGCTGAAAAGACGTTACACTGCCTGAGAGGGTGGCGCGGAGGGGGGAGGGTGGGGAGGGTGACGAGGGAGAGGGAGGAAGGGTGAGAGGGAGGGAGGGTGAGAGGGAGGGAGGGTGAGAGGGAGGGAGGGTGAGAGGGAGGGAGGGTGAAAGGGAGGGAGGGTGAGAGGGGGGAGGGTGAGAGGGGGGAGATTGAGATGGGGGAAGGGTGAGCAGCGTGGTTTTAGTGCCATGCATATACGCTCCACACCACACGAAACCACAGCACACCGCACCAAACCACAGCAGCACGAGCACCAATCGCAAGGTACGTTCAGGCGCATCACAGCCCGGTGGCAGCTGAGCACAGTGCGATTCGCAATGGCATGCCAGCATTCCCCCACTCACCCTCGCAGCACCCTCCCACTCACCCTCGCACATGCGGTTGTCCACGCCCACCCACTCACCACCCACTCACCACCCACGTTTAGGGGCCATGGAGAGGAGTGCCGTGCCATCCATCAAGGCTCCACACCACACCACACCACACCACACCACACCACACCACACCACACCACACCACACCGCACCGCACCAGACCAGACCAGACCAGCACCAGTCGCTGGCCCACTCAAGCACATCACAACCAGGTGGCAGCTCATCTCGGCATATCCACAACTCACCATGGCAGCACATATGGTTGTCCACGCCTGACGCCTTCCCATGGATGATCTGCTCCGCCCAACCTCTCACCACCCGCTTCCCCTGCTGGTGACTTTTGAGTCAACTCAAACGTCTCCCACTCACCATGGCAGCACACATGGTTGTCCACGCCAGATGCCTTCCCATGAATGATCTGCTCCGCCTCATACGCCCACCCGCTCACCACCCGCTTCCCCTCCTCCCCCACCTCTGCCGGTTCCCTCCCGCCCGCCCCCCTGCCCGCTGACTGCCGCTCTACCGAAGGTGAGCGTGCGGAGGGTGGTTGTAACGAGGATGATGGTAACGAGGGTGACTGTAGCGAGGGCGTGGGTGTGATGGAGCCAGCAGCAGAGAGCATGGCGGCGGCCAGGGCGGTGGAGAAGGCAGCAGACGAGCCGAGACCCGCGCCGGGAGGGATGTCGGATGTGACTGTAACGAGGGCGGGCTGGAGCCTGCAGGGGGTGAGGGGAATTTGAGAGGAGGAGGGAGAGGAGGAGGGCAAAGATAAAGAGGAGGAGAATGATAGGGGAAGGCGGAGAGGTTCTATCCATTACGAAATAGCCAATGCAACGACGACACTATCTATCTATCAGGACAGCGCCTGTGCGTTCCTGCACCTGCAATTTTATTAGTTTGAGATGCCCTTGAGACGGCCTTTTGAGTTGCCTCAAAGCTCCTGTGCCAGCCTCCCTCCGACACCGACACTGCTGATTCACCCGCCCAGTTGCATTGCACCCCACGCACCTCCCCAACCCACCCACCCACCAATCCACGCACCCAACGATTCGCGACAGCAGGAACAGGAAGGCTTGTACGCCAGCGCGCTCGGACGGTCCTCCTAGCGACGCGACGCCGTCTCCCGCGTCTAGGAGCTCCTCGAACGCGGCATGGTGCTCCTCCGGTAGACTGGAAGGTGAAAGCGGGGTGGGCGCGGGGAATGCGGCGGGATGTGCGCGCGCGACGCGGCGGAGGCTCGCGATTGGCCAGCTGATATACGCGTTAGTGGAGGGAGAGGACAGTACGAGGCGATCCGGCTCGGCCTGCGGCGATGGCTGTTGCGGCAGCCATTTCGGCGGGTCTTGCTGCGGGTCTTGCGGCGGGATTCCCGGCGGCTGTTGCAGGAGCTTCGGGGACGGACTGAGCTGCTGTAGCGACTCGGAACCTGAAGGAAGGTCTAATGTTCTGATAGGTTCCCTTTCAGAGAGGTTTGATTTTAAGAGGTCGAGTCGCACGTTCGTCCGAAGGCTGATGCTCCCCGCGACGCACATCTTGCCGTGAACCACGGAGTGCTCGCCGAATAAGATCACCTTCCCAGGCGCCGACGCCGCGAATCGTGCCCATAGCTCGACTGGTGCCGTTCGTGCCTCCGCCCGCGCCTCCGCCTCCGCCCGCGCCTCCGCCTCCGCCTCCGCCGCCGCCGCCGCCGCCGCCGCCGCCGCCGCCGGCTCTGAATGCTCGCGGCCTGTAGCCATGCGAACCGGCTGGTTTGGCCTGTAGTATCCGGCTGCTTTGAGGGACTCCAGGGACTAGGTCTAAGTGATAATGGCCGACTTTTAGACTGCTGGTATTAGCCACGAGGGGGTTGCCGAATCTCGTGAAGTATACCGACGGGGAAATTCTGAGAATTCCTCAAAAACACCCTGCAACGTCACAGGTTGCTGGTGGTTCTGCTGCTGCTGCTGCTGGTTCTGCTGCTGGTGCTGCTGCTGGTGCTGCTGGTGGTCCTGCTGTAACACACGCGGATCGCAAGGTGCGGTGCTCGGGGTGAACAGACGAGGAGAAGCGAGGAAAAAGGATGAGTACACCCTGTTTCTCGACCCTCTCACCTTGCGCGATTCGCTGCTACAGTGCGGTCAGGTGCCATAAACCGTATGGCTGAAACCTGCGGGCAAAGCCGCACCAGCTGACGGAGTGGTACTGGGGGCAAAATTTTTCTTTATCGCTGTATACCCTTTTCAACCGCTTTGAAACGCTTGTTTAATGTTCTTTACCATGCAGCATCCTAGCTAACCGCTTTCTTGTGAATGTGCTTGTACCGTCGGTGATAAGACCATTTCAAACGTGGTGACGTTCTACAACCAGTGCATGTTCTGCAACCAGATGCTCTGCTAGCGCGAAACAGGGTGTACAGAAGAAGGCTGCATGGGATGATTTCTGTCTGAAGAAGGCTTGAACGAGGAGGAATAAGTGGTAGCGATGGTATGGTGGCGCATTTGCGACGCGGAATTGACACGACCATCCACTAGCTGCACCGGACACTAGCCCGGGTGGTTTAGTGATATTTAGGTTCTACCAAATAGGTGCTCGCCAACCAATCAAGTTTCGACTTTGTCGCTGCTTGCCTAAGCGGTGAAAGTTTTTTGTAAAAACTGTTCCAATCGACAGACGGACATCCAGACTTCAACCAGGTGAAACAATGAATGACTCTTGCCGTATGGATTCTCTTCAAAAACACACCTTAGTTCCGAACTATGCGACACGCTTGCGACGGCACGATTTGACGGTGCGTTCTTCGCCGATGTAGGCACCACCGGTCGATGGCCCTTGAAAATCGTCGACAGTCCCCGCTTGTGTGCCAATACGGTGAAATTTGCAATTCGTGTTACAGAAATCCTTCTTTACTGTCTAATTACGAAGATGAAGTTTGCGTTATAAGCAAGACCGTATACACCCTCAATGAAGATTCTCAACTCTTTTGGAATTCCCAGTCATCGATTCCCTGAGAATTTGCCACTTCCTGCACTATCAGTGGTAGCAGCAGCAGCAGCAGCAACAGGAGGAGGAGATGTTCGCACTCCCAGCGTTGCCACGTGTCGTGTTTTCAGGCGATGTCGCACGGCATCATAGGCAGAGTGCGCATCACCCGCCCATATGCTCTAATAGCGCGTCCACTGGCGTGACTTTAATCCGCTCGAATGACCTGCTAGCTGCTCAGCAGACCGTCGAGAGGTCGTTTCCCCGGCTACGCCGTCAAGTTAACGGTCAGCCGTCGTCTTCTCGAAACGTTGCTCGGCGGGTTACCGGCTCTAGAAGCACGGCTAATCGGCGCGCTGTTGGTAGCGCGATACGCATCGCCAGAACCACTCGAGTCCAGGCTGTCCTGGGAGAGAACGTAAACGAGAATGAGAATGATAACCAGGAGGAGAAGGCAAAGGAGAAGGAGAATGGCAGCAAGAAGCGTCCTAGCAGATTCACCAGCAGCAGCAGCAGCAGCGGAACCACGACGCAGAGCGACGCGACTCCTTGGGCGCTCCAGGTGCTGGTGGGCGCCGCGACCGCCGCTCTCGATTTACTCACACCGCGGGTGAGCGTCGAGGCGAGAGGAGGTTTGGGCGTGGGGATGTATTCACTTCACATCCTGGTTGAGCGTGAGGGCGAGAGGTTGGGAAGAGCGGGCGATACACAGCGGTTGGGACAGATGTTGGTGCGACTTTTGAGAATTCTCAAAGGTGGGACGGATGTTGAGTTGAGGTGGATGGGGATGGCTGGCTTGGCATGGGGTAACAGCCGCAAGGGCTGTGGCTTGGTGACAAGTCTGGATTGGATGTAAGGCTGTCGATCAGTCGCCCTGTCGATGGCTGGAGTGATCACCGTGTCTCCGCTGTGCTGTGCTGTGCTGTGCGGTGCGGTGCTGTGCTGTGCTGTGCTGTGCGGTGCTGTGCTGTGCTGTGTGGTGCGGCGCTGTGCTGTGCTGTGCTGTGCTCCTCTCTGTGTGTGCTGCTCCTTCTGCTCCTGTGCATCTCTTCCTGCTTCTCTTCTTGCTACCTTACTCTCCAGACAGACCCAGTGACCAACCCACAAGCACAAGAACCTAGCAGCAGCAGCAGCAGCAGCACCATTTCAGCCAATGCTGCTACTGCTGCCACTGCTGGAAATGCAGCCATGTGGAGCAGTGAGGCAACCGATGCAGAGGATTGCAGAGGAGTGCTGCGGGAACTAGTCGAGGCGATTCGAGAGGACTACGAGCAGCGAGCGTATTTCGTCACAGGCACGTGCTCTCTGTCAATTCGAGCACTCACTTTTGAGTCGACTCAAAAGTCACCTCTCTGTCAATTCAAGCACTCACGCCCTTTTCAGACGCAATCTCTCTCCCCTGGTCACAAGCACTCACGTGTTTCAAATATCTCCAGACTCCTCTGTTCGCTCCCTCGGTCACCGGCACGCAGTCTCTTCCTTTTAGTTCTTGATACGTCAAAGATTCGTATGCTGTTACGACAGCACCCGCTCGTTCCCTCTGCGCTGCTCTCCCTCATTTGGTCGCTTGCATTTCTTCCCGTTCCGCTCCCTACCCCTTTCCCATTCCCTTCCCCCTTTCCGTCCCCCTCCCCATCCCCATCCCCGTCCCAAGCAGGTGACATCTCTGCACGTGTCTACGACACCGAGTGCTTCTTTGCCGACCCGCTTGCTGTGACTCCGCATACGTTCCTCCCGTGCCCCGTTCGCCCCTTTCCCGCCCCCCGTCCCCACCAGGTGCCATCTCTGCACGTTTCTACGACACCGAGTGCCTCTTTGCCGACCCCACGATTCAGTTCTCGGGCCTGCAGCGCTGGCAACGCAACATTGCGCTGCTCACTCGCTTCTTCTCCTCCCCAACCATCCACCTGCACGACCTGCAGGTGCGCGGGGGGGGAGGAGAGAGCATGATTGCAGGAGTGAGTATGCGTGCATGTGAACTTTAGAGAGAATGATAGTAGGATAATGAGAGAGGGCAGGAAAGAGCAGGAGGAAGTAGGAGGGAGTGGGAGGGAGTGGGAGGGAGTAGGAGGGATTAGGAGAGAGTAGGAGTGAGTAGGAATGAGTAGGAGAGAGTAGGAGTGAGTGGGAGAGAGTGGGAGAGAGTGGGAGAGAGTAGAGAGGACACCGTTTTTTTACTTGCTGTCCTGTCCTGCCGCTGCAACCCTATTCCTCCACTGGCCCATTATGGTCAGCAATGGTACTGGACCAAACACTATTGCTGGCCCTCCATGCCCCCCACCTTCAAGTCTTTCCTGCAGCACCCTCGTCTGCAGCATGCGTGGATTTGCTTTCAAGAACACTCAAAAGCTGCAACCCTATTCCCCCGTGTGGACCAAACCAAACACCACTCCTTCCTGGACCCCCATGCCCCCCACTCACCTTCAGGTCTTTCCTGCAACGCCCTCGTCTGCAGCACGCCTGGAGACCAGGTGGCGCCTGCTGTAAGCCAAGGGGGGGAGCTGGGAGATAGGGGTGATACATACTAGACTGCTGGACCAGGTGGCGCCTGCTGTAAGCCAAGGGGGGGAGCTGGGAGATAGGGGTGATACATACTAGACTGCTGGACCAGGTGGCGCCTGCTGTAAGCCAAGGGGGGGAGCTGGGAGATAGGGGTGATACATACTAGACTGCTGGACCAGGTGGCGCCTGCTGTAAGGCAAGGGGTGATACATACTAGAATGTGTGGTGTCTGCAGCACGCCTGGAGACCAGGTGGCGCCTGCTGTAAGCTATGGAGGAAGTCTAGGGGATAGGGTTGATGTGGGAACGTGGGGATTGCATGACGATAGAGGCATGGGAGGTGGGCGTGATACAGACAAGCTTCTGTGGGTCAGTATCACTTTGGAGACCAGATGGCGCCTGCTGCAAGCCATGGAGGAAATTGGGAGATAAGGGCGATGTGGGAAATTGGAGGTTTGCATGGCATTTGAGACTTCTTGAGACTGCTGATTCTCAATCATGATACAGACAAGATTTTGTGGGTCGGCATCACGCCTGGAGACCAGGTGGCGCCTGCTGTACGCAGTGGAGAGAGAAGGAGGGGTGATGTGGGAATGTGGGGGTTGCATAATCCGTGTGCAGTCTCAGGTGTGATACAATGAGACAAGCTGCTCAGGTGTGATCGATCCATCCATCCATCCACCCACTCACCCACCCACCCACCCACCCATCCACCCATCCACCCATCCATCCATCCACCCACCCACCCACCCACTCACCCACCACTTGCATTTTGCAAACACTTTCCCCCTCCCTCCTGGCCCCATCTCCCCCTTCCCCCAACACGACTCCCTCCTCCTCTCTCCCCACCCAGTACGCCCATCAACCTGCCATGGCGGCCGCTGGTGGACATCAGAGGCTCCACAGTGCACACACTCAATGCTGCCGGCACCAAGGTGTGTGCGAGCTGTCAGGACGAAGAGGTGCGGTGCGGTGCGGTGCGGTGTGGTGTGGTGTGACAAGGTGAGCACACAGGATGTCGCCGGCATGGTACCAAGGTGCAGCGAGCTGCTAGTGTGAGTATGAGCAGGGGACAACCGAATGTCTGTTGTTTCCGGCAACAAGCTCTGTGCGTGCTGAGTGGGTGTGTGTGTGAGCTGGGAGGATGTGAATGTGAATGTGTAAACTAACTCGCTGCTGTTCATGTGCTTCAGCATCGGGGATTCAGCCGGGTCTCTCTTTTCAATCGGGTCTCTCTTTTCAATCGGGTCTCTCTTTTCAATCGGGTCTCTCTTTTCAATCGGGTCTCTCTTTTCACCAGCGTACAGAGGTTCTTCATTCACTCGACTCTTTGTTTTTGTAGGCCAATCCAATCCACCTGTCATCCGGCTCTGGTCCAATTCCGAGAATCGTTGAAAACGACTCTTCATCCATCTGCCGTGTGCCTGTTCTCCCCCTCTGCAGCTTGTGTCATGGGAAGAGGCATGAGAGGAGTCATGAGTCAATTCAATCACCCTCACTCTCGCCTCTCTTTGACCTCTCCTCCACCTCTCCTCCACCTCTCCTCCACCTCTCCTCCACCTCTCCTCCACCTCTCCTCCACCTCTCCTCCACCTCTCCTCCAACTCTCCTCCCCCACTCCTCCCCCACTCCACCACCGCTCCTCCACCTCTGCAGGTAGTGTCACACGAGGAGGAATGGAAGGTGTCTGCTTACGAGGCCATCATGCACCTCTTCAGACCCGGCCCCCCTGCCTCTCCCAGCCCTCTCGGAACTTCCAGCTCTCCCACCCCTCCCAATTGCTCTAGCCCTCCTGGCCCTGCCAGTCTCCCAACCCTCCCATCCCTCCAGCTCTCCCACCCCTCCCCCACTCCTCCCCCACTCCACCACCGCTCCTCCACCTCTGCAGGTAGTGTCACACGTGGAGGCATGGGAGGTGTCTGCTTACGAGGCCATCATGCACCTCTTCAGACCCGGCCCTCCTGCCCCTCCCAGCCTTCCTGACCGTCCCGAGCCCCCCAGCGCTCCTGGCTCTCCTTAGGGTGATTGCTGCATCTTGTGCGTTCTCTTGGCCGTAGCCTCAGCTGTTTCTGGATCCGCATTTAATGATTGATTTTCCCTCTCTTTCTCTCTTGTAAGTTCCCATGCCCCGTCTTCCTCCTCACCCTTCCTCTCCCCCTCCCCCCCACGCTCAACTCCCCCACTTGTTTCCCCCCTTCTTCCACAAATTCTCCTGATGTGACACTTGTAGGCAGCTGCCCACTCTCTGTTGACTTGCTTGGTGCAATCGCACATTATTTCAGGAGTCTGCACAGTAATGTACTATAGTACCGTCAGCCCCCGGATAGAAGCGCCCCTGGGGGTGTAAAAAAACACTGTTTTTTAGGGGGGTGCGCTTATACCGTATTTGAGGATTTTTATAAGCGCCGGGGCTTATATAATGACATATATGAAATCTAGTTTTTTTACACTAAAGTGTTCATCTCGTCCTTGCGATTTGAATCGAATCGATATTGTAGAGGACATCGAATGTGAATTTCGCGTAAATCGGCAGTGGCTGATTCCCTGCCAACATACACAGTCAGAATGAGTCGGATTGACCCCATGACAGCTCATTCTGACTGGACGTGAAGGCATTTAGTCACGCGAGGGGGAAGGATTTCGAATTTCTGAATGTGGGGATGCAATATTGTGTTTCGTTACAGCGTTTCCAGTAAAAATATCAAACAATATTACAGAGGGTGGCGCTTATAATCCGTAAGCCTTCAGGAGTGCGCTTATAATCGAGGACCGGATATAAGCGCCCTCATTCTTTTATAAGCGCCGGCGTTTATCCGAGGCCTGCGCTTCTATCCGGGGGCTTACGGTAGTACTGATAGATTATCAGTGATGATACAAACTAACAAACCAGTTATTTACAGAGCAGTTGCCCGAGTCGCACTGTATCGAACCGCAACAGCAACAGTAAAAGTAGTTATAACCGTATCTCTTCATATTCCCTGTATTATTATATAAGCTTGTATCCTTTCACTATAATTTAATCTACTTTGCTCTCACACACTAGTGCAAGGTCGGTTCACAAAGCTTCATTAAACGCTTCCGCTAATACAAAGTATCCTACCCAGAGTTATCCTCTGTAAAGATCCTTAGGGCCTTATCAGCCCAACATGGTATGAGAGCATACAGGGGAAACTCTACCTTTTCAAGATCATTACAAGACATGGCAACAAACAAGGAAAGGAGCTCCCCTAATGGCTCCTCGGGCACTACTCCTACTCCACCGCCAACCTCTGGCCTGCAGACAGAGGAAGGCACGGCAGCAAGACCAAGGGGAACGTCAACCGAGACCCCCACGAACCATCCTTCTGACTTTGATCAGAGCATGATGGAGAAATTCTTCTCCTTCATGTCCTTCTACGAGCAACACCAGCAGTCGGGACCTGCACAGACACACAACAGCAACAACGGAGCGACACCCATGAGCCTTGATGGGTCGTCATATGCGCGAGGGAATCAACAGCAGCAACCCACCTTCGCCCCGTACGAGCGCGGGTCGATCAGCTTCCTGCCTCAACCTCCACTTGCGCAAGACAAACCAATGGACGCATTACAAGTTCAGTCGCAATTCGCGCATGTCTTGAAACTGCAAACATCAAGACCTTTTGACGGAAAGGACTTCTTCACCTGGTCCTTTGAATTCGAGCTAATGATGGAGGGCGCGCAGATACTCGGTTTCTTCGACGGATCCCTGTAGTATCCAGCAAACGGCACACAGTATGAGAAGCAGCAGTATACGTATCAATCGATGATGGCGTATACTATTCTACTGAGAAACATCACACCAACTCAGCAGCAGAACATTCGCTCTTACCGGACCTTCGGCAACTCGGCGGAACTCGCGTATGGCCATCTGAAGAACCTGTATCAAGCAACAAACAGTGTAAACCAGAGCAGGTTAATGGCGCAGTTGACAACAGTTGAAATGAAACCAGGAGAAAAGGGGTTGGCGTATATCAGCCGATGTCGCGAATTGCGCGACAAGCTTCTTCGATGCGGAGGATCAATCTCTGAAGACGCCTTCGTAACAGCCATCATCGGTGGCCTCGGTCCTCAGTGGCGCGCCACCAAAGCAATTCTTCGAGCCCACGTTAGAATTTCTGAAGCAGCACTCTGCGCCGAAATACACGCCGAGCAGCAGGACATGGATCTGCAAGAAGAACGCCACAAACGAAAGACGACAACGTCAGAATTCGCTTTCCATACTCAGCGACGACACAACAACTACAACAACCGACAGCAGCAACCGAAACCAGTACCTCCGTTTTGTCACATCTGCAAGACATCAGGGCACCCACGCACGCACTGCCCGAATCGACAACAGTTAACTGCCTTGCAGCGGCAACTACGACCTTCAAGCAGTCAAGTGACTTCAACACAGGCGAACCCGACGACTCAGGTCCAAGCCTCAACTTCACCGGGACAACCTGCACAAGGAGCAAGAAACATCATCAGCTGCATGGCAAGACTGAGCGAATCCTGCATCACCGAGTCACCGCCAGATTACTCCCCAGAAGACCATCTCGATAACACCACACCTCGCCGCGAAGCACTCAAACCAAATCCAACGTACGCCGCCATCGCCCAAAGCGAGCCTTCAGGGACAGACACGTGGTTCTTGGACAGCTATTGCGGACAGCACATGTGCTCTTCAGGACGCTTCGTACAACAAGAATACCAGCTTCAACGGGAAGTCGTCATAATCGTCGCCAACAACCAGAACCTGCGCACACGACGGCAAGGAATCGTACAACTTCAGTCGCGAGAGACAAACGTCATACTACAGATGTCAAAGGTTTTAATTGCACGAGGGCTCGGCTACAACTTACTGAGTGTCAGTCAGCTGATGGCGAAAGGTATTCACCTCGAAGCAGACAGCACCATCCAGGAGTTCAAGTTGTATCATGGGAGAGGAGGTCTCTACATCGGGAAGGCGGTCCTCAAGAACAACGTCTTCGTCTTGGACTTCGTTCCCGATCTTGGCACCGCCGACAGTGACGCCATAGTTAACTTCACCAACTGGACACACCCTCCGGACCTTGACCCTGACTTCAGTCCGGGCGGCTTCTGGTATTCGTATACCATCCCTGAGACAGAGCGAACAAGGGCATTAGCAACAATTCAACGGTCAGCAGCAGCAGAGACAACATCGGGAGCAGCAGGAACAACATCGGCAGCAGCAGAGACAACATCGGGAGCAGCAGGAACAACATCGGCAGCAGCAGAGACAACAACGGCACCAACAACAACACCAGTCGCTGGTCCTTCAACGGCACCAGTCCTCGTTGACGACGCATCACCGACACCTGCACAACAGTTTCAGCCAGCACCACGAGAGTTTCATCACAGCCCCAACTTCACCACCAGCTTCTACTCCAACTCGGATCTGTACCGACGATCACCCAGACACCGTGCCGACGAAGCAACCTGGCACGCTAGAATGGGACATCCAAGAAACACAGTGTTAAACAACACAATACGAGCAGGAGTGCTCGACAAAGACTCACTCCTATTAACCAACGGACAAGAACTCCAACGCGTACGCGGCACATGCTTCACCTGCCCAGAAGGAGACCTACCTCATCAACCGTTCCCATCGCACCACAACCCAAGTGCACCAGCTTACACACCACTCGAAAAGGTGTACAGCGACATCCTGTACAACCGTGAACCAGGGCAGAATACGTACCTCTACACGATTACCTTGATCGACGCCGCAACACGCTACGTCTGGCACCTGAACCTCCCAAGCAAAGATATGGCGTTCGAGGCGTTCGTCGCGTGGCTTCCCGTAGCAGAGCGGGAATCGGGCGTCAAGTTAAAAAGCTTCCAAACAGACGGAGGAGGAGAATAAACCTCGACGAGGTTCAAGAACTACCTGGCTGAGAAAGGCATCAAGCGCCTCATCTCCCTTCCTTACGCCCATCAACAACAGGGTGTAGCAGAAAGGCTGAACAGGACCCTCCAAAACACCATGCGGAAACTGTTACGTGGCATGCGGCTTCCCAACCACCGGTGGCCAGAAGCGATGGACCACGCTGTAATGCTACACAACTTGCTCTCCTCGTCGTCACTCCCGAACAACGCATCACCGCATCTGCTGTGGACCGGGAAATTGGGCAACACAAAAATGTTACGAGTTTTTGGGTGCATGGTACAGTACCGACCACCATCTGTGTCACAATATATATATTTGTAACTGCCTGTAGCTGTAGTTAGTGTAGATATTTAAACTTTGTTTGGTGGTGCACCTTATGTGTTTCCTTTGCTATATGTACTTCGAAACTATAGTGAAGACACACATTCTCCAATTTTCCTCTCTCAACTCACTCGACACTCACCCTAGGTGAAAACCCGCTCGACACTTAAGTTAGGGCCTAGGCTACTAAGCCTAGGCCCCACCTTTCTACTGTTAATTACTTAGTCTCTCGACATGGTATCAGAGCTAGGTTCGTCCTGGCCTGTGGGCCCACTTTACACTTCCGCTGCTAAGGTTTTCCGGTCGCGCGCCTAGGGCGCGTGACGATTTTATTTTTACATTGTCCCGCCCACGGGCGAGTGACTCCTTCCCTGCCCGTCGCGCGCCCCGTGGCACGCGACGGTGCCCTTCATCTGCCCATCGTGCGCCCCGTGGCACACGATGGTGCCCTGCTCGTCGTGCGCCCCGAGGCACACGATCGGGCCCTTCTATTCTACCCGTCGTGCGCCCCGTGGCACTGGCCCGCGACGGGCCTTTCCGCCCCTGCACTCCCTGAAGCCGCCCCTGACACCACTGCACCGACACCTTTTCGCCGCTCTGCGGCTTTCTTCCTTCCCACCCCCCTCCTCCTTTGTCTCCCTGCAGCCGCGGGGAGGAGGGTATGGGGGTGGAGGGTGTTGGAGTGTGGCGTCACCTCTCTCCCTTCCCCTCCTCCTTCTTTCAGTCCCACCGCTGCAGCTGCCGCTGGGGGGAGAAGGTGTGAGGATGTGGGGGAGCAGGGGGAG